GAGTTTTTTTTTTTATTTCCTCATATAATGTTTGAATCATTCTAAAACAATGGTAAGGGATGATATTGCATTAAACAGAAATTATTTCAACTAAATCTTTCCCCTCATTTAATTTCTTCGTAAAGTGTACTCTTATTCAAATTATAGGCGATTACTTTGAGACATTATCATAAAGAGATTATCATCATATGGCTCGACTAGTATTATCTGCCACTAAATGAAGTCAAAAACACCAGCCGGAAAAAAACAACAACAATTGTTTCATGTTTTTTATTGCAATAACATGATTTGAATACAAGGATCAAGGGATCATTTTGAATACTGCTCTTCGTCATATATCTTTCTTTGTAGGATTTATTTTTAACTCATATGGTTTTATTTTTTAACGACCGGCCAGAAATCATATTATTCGAAATGAATCCATTAACTCATATTCAATTATAATCACCAGTCATCGTTACATTTGATCAACATTTACCTTCACGATAAAATAAGATATGATATATGCCCAATTCAATGCTACCTCTAAGAAGAACAACAAGTTGATTGCGGTTAAGGATAGATTTGATTTCCATTCAGATGAAATAAGTTTAATTAGTAAGGGTTTAAATTAAACTGTGGTAACAATGAATTTACTGGTTGAGAATATAAGAGTTCTTTAACCTAACCGACGTATTTACTTTATCATTACAACGTATTTCTACGTGTCTCGGTATTCAATATTATACGACTGACTATGTTTTGAAATATCATGAAATCGCAAAAGGAGCATTTTATGATAATATCATCAGACTTTCGTTTGCAACCATCGCTGTCCGTACTTGCAACCATCCTTTCAGCCGTCCATGTTGATTTCGGTAAAAGCTCAGGTCCTTTGAAATTTGGATAAATATCTTCTTCGACATTTAAAAGGAAACATTTTGGGGCTACTTTAAGGTTGCTTGGTCTGGTGGGGATTGCGTTCATTGAACGCCGCCTTTTCTTGTTGATCTTGCTTATCATATTTCGTAACAATATTTAATCAAAGGCCTAATGGTGTAATGTCCTTCGGTTTGTTTAAAATGTCACTACAGGGTTTGATTTTTTCTCGGGAGATTTCCCATTTTGATGATTTCAAGGCTAAATTGGATGAAACGTTTTCTCAACATAAAATGCCTCTTCAGCATAAAGACTTTTCTACCGCGAAGTTTAGTCACATCATAGTGTTTGCTAATTGAAGTTTGAGAAGAAAGGGACGTCCGTACCTTGGTTAAGTGGTGGTTCCTGAGTTTGGGGATCATTTGTTGAATCATCTTTTTTATTGATCTTGTTTTTCATATTTGGATTTCAAGTGAGGAAGCTCTCTAGCTAACGTACGGTACGTCGATGGTTCTTCTCAGGTGAGGTGACGTTCCTGTCTGAAATAATGCACGACATGCTAAGGCATTTTTTGAGGTCTACCTCTACCATACTTAAAAGTCCCCATATGACCTATACTGTGTTGGTGCGACGAAACCATCCACAAAAAAAATGTTTAGAGAAATGTTTTTCATTTAAAATTTAAAAGCGAAAAAAGAAAGGGGGAAATTGGTTAATAAAACACAACTAAAAATTAGAACAAGGATCAACAACGCAAGGCGGCCTTTTTGTATCTTTAGCATGGTAACAGCAACGTTAAAGTTGGTTGTGTCTTTTGCGTTGTGTAGTAAAATTAACACGGAATATTTTATCAGAGATGTTACATTTTCGACCAATGACTATCTTTAGAACAACATGCTTGTATTTGTATTATTTTAGATGATAAATATAGCTAGCATAGAATTGTTGGACGCCTACGTTTTCAATATTTTTACTAAATGCTCACGCATAAAATTATATAGAAGTATAGAATTATTATCGATTAATGACATTAATAACATTTTAGTGCATAAATTCTTTTTAATTTGTAACTAATCAAATCGATACATTTTATACACCTTCTGTTCTGCAACATCATCATTTTTTTCCAAATCCGTTGAATTGGTGCTAAACCATGCGGTTAAAATATTTATTCTTGTAAATTATATTTGTCTACATTAAATATTTTTCATTGATATGATTTTAAAATATCTTTTTTCAAGTTAAAAAAAGGAAATTCTGTTTCGTTCCGAAATACTCGTTACCTGTGTCCGTTTTTGGTTGTAAAATTCTTTCCGTCATTTCCTCAGTCTAACGAAACATTTCTAAAAGTTCCCATAAACTCGAGCTCATTTTATTCATATAGGCATAAAGGGTTTGTAATGTAATAACCATCAATACAACGTACGAGAAAGATGAAACTGATGACTAATAGTCAACACCAATCTGGTAAATAAGGCTGGTTTTCCAAAAACTGATAATTTTTTTCCGACGTACACAGTTACAGCTGAGGAAAAGTGGATTAATGTTATCAAAAACATTATTACTGTTGTACGATTCACCTGTTTTTGTTCTTGGAGAAGACCATCATTACGTCCTAGAAATATTCAAAAAGATTCAAACAGACGAATCATTTACAACAAAAGTTATATAACAAACATAAATGTTAGTTAACCATAATGCATGCAACCAAGTGAGAAAAAAAATTCTTATTATTTAAAATGAAAAATTGACTTGAAATAACATTTAAAAGAATAATGTCCTAATATCCGTTCTCTCAGAGGAAAACAAAAATAAAGAAGTAAAAACAATAAAACAAACCAACATCACCAACGGCAACAACAAAATCAAGAGCTTAAGAGAAGCTTTACATAACAAGATACATTTTTATTAATTTTTTAAAAACGATTAAAATCACGTTGTGTCCATAAAATTATGGTAGGATATTGAACAGACGTGCAAAACTATGCAAAAACAAAAATAAAATGTTCCGGAACAAAAATGTTTTATGTTGCTTTTTTAAAGTATTTTGTAAACTGTTTATCAATGATATTGTGCATGTTTAATTCACACAATGGACATAAACCAAACACAATCCTTTCTTGTAATTATATTGGTATAATTCATTTAAAAATCAAACATTTTGTAAACTGATGGTAGCAGAGATATAGCTTTATACAAATCTAAAGATAAATATATTTTCACAAATAGTTTGATTAAATCGTGCAAAGTTTGAAAAAGGAGCATTGCAATCATTTTGTTTGATTGAGTACATTGCGTTATCATTATGTTAAATTGTATGATTATTACCTTTTGATTGTGTGGGGGCTTCCGTGTTTTAAACCCTTTGAGATTTTGCCAATTGTGTCTGAAAACAGTTGGAAAGACTTTGCTTTTTCACAGTTCCGTCTAGATTGGGTTTAATAATCTTCTTGAATAGTACTGACTTGTCTTATAATGACGGTAGTTCACTTGTTCAACGTATGCCATTCTCCACTTGTATTAACTTTAACTGTTTCGACTATCTGAAACTTCTTTCGTACAAGATTTCTTTTGTTGTTCAATTTCAAAGGGAAACCAATGCAAAAAAACAATGGTGTATTAAGCGACGGCTGTAAAAGTATAGCTTTTAAAAAAAGAGAGACTCGACATAACATAGAGAACTATGCTCCAAATAGATTCATAGTCAATGATAAAACACGCCCCAGTCCTGTGGTCAAAGCGTTCGATCCCAAATGACGGAACAGTAAGAATGGTTACAAGTATGTACATACCGACACATAGTAATTTAGTTCTCGGAGTAGTTAAAACATCGGAGAATGGTCGGCAAGTTTTCATGTACCTGTCAAATGCGACCAAGCCAAGAATCCACGATGATATTATTCCCGTTAAAACTGCAAAGAAATCATAGGTTCGACAGAACCACTTGGAACCTAGGCTAGCCCATACCACAGGAATGTGTCTTAGCAGATTAAACGGTGCGCAAACAGCAGATCCGAGAAGGTCAGATATACCCATTGAAAATACCATGTAGTCGGTGCTTGATTTTCCAGGAGAATAGGCGAACGTAAGAATAATCAAAATGTTTCCTGGTATTCCTACTAAAACGATGATTCCAGAAAATACAACTTGTTGCACAGTCAGCCATTCAGGAATATCACTTCCAGTAACGTTTGTAATGTTCATTTTTAACAATCTGGATCTGTTTAATGAAGGGAACACTTTTATTTGTCACTTGAAATCTGCAAATACAATCTTGAAAAATGAATTACAAATAATGATTTAAACTTACAATTGAGTCGAAGCGAAGGCAAACGAACAATCTCTGTTAGGCGTAAGTTGCTTATCATACCTCATAATTTAAAACTTCGCTTTGTCATATAAGTAAACACTAAACTGCATTCATAAGTATAGTTCAAATTTCAGAAAGTACCGACTGACACAGTTTCATGAAAAAAGAAATATCAAACAAGTAATAATAAAAGTCGAAATGTAACAGAAAACATATAAATCATATGCAGTAATATTAAGTCATCATTTTCAGCTTGTGACAAAAAAATAAATATTTCATATTCAAAATTTTATATAACAACTATTTCAACTACATAAAACGTTTGAATTCGATTATCAAAGCAACATTTCCTTAATTGTAATTTTCGTCTTATTTTCGTGTTTTTTTAAAAATAATTTTCAAAAAAGTAAATGATTTTCATTAAATGCTTAATTGCGTACGTACTTTGCCTATATCGGATGTAAAATAAAGTATCCAACACGTATTTAAGTGAATACTTACATTTAAATTTTGCTTTTCCTCCCGAAAACCACTGAACAGTTTCTTTTTATAGTCAAATATATCGTCTCTTACTAATATAAGCAAATTGTTTCCTCGCTTTTATACCTTGAAGAAAGCAGAAGATCCGAGGAGCTGTTAAATGATGCAGAAAAGAAACTTCTTAACAACTAAAAATTTACCTTCTAATTGTAATTGCATCATTAGAAACTCATTTTCTGTTGTTATAATAAAAAGTTGTAATGAGAACTTTATAAAGATTCATACAACCGTATTCATGCGCAAGGTTCTTTTAGAAATGTCATTAGTTATATTTTTTTTCATACCTCGAGTCATCATAATTCTCCTAAAGTGATCCTTTCGCTAAGAAATTAAATACATTATTATTTTTGTTTTTAATTTGAAATATGTACTTTCAGATTCATGGAGTAACGCTATAATCATACCATTGCACAATAAAGGTAATCGCAATGAACCAGCAAATTATTGCGGAATATCTTTGCTTAACATTTTTAGTAAGATATACACATCCATTTAAAATAGACGTCTATCCTATCCTTTTATGCCAATACTTTTAATAAAATAGACGAATCTCAATCTGGATTTAGAGCTGGTTATAGTACCACTGATAATGCATTTGTTCTGCACTTACTTCTAGGCACTTTCAAAGAAAAGGGGCAAATTATATGTTGCATTCGTTAATTTTAAAACGGCATTTGATTCTGTCACTCGAAATAAGCTTTGGCAAATACCTTACAATGCTAATATAAGGGGAAATCTTTCAAATTCTATTATTGCTATGGATAATAATGTAAAGGCATGTGTACGTTTTAACATTCATATCTCATATTATTTTAATTGCCCGATGGGCCCCCAGCAGGGCCAAAATTATTCTCATTTTTCAAAAATGAATTATCATTTATGATGAACAATGACGATAAAATTAAAGGGATACAGATAATGCCAAATGAAATTTCAATATGGCTGTAATGTTTGCGGATGACGTAGCTTTGATTGCCAAAACAGTTATCAACTGAATGTATTAGAAACGTTTTGCAAGTCTAGTTGTTTGCAGTTAAATACATCAAAAACAAAAGTCGTGGTTTTTAAAAAGGGCAGTCGATTAGCGCGTTATGAATGATTTTACTAAAACAATCATCAACTCGATATAGTTAATTATTTTTCATGTTTTTTTTTGTAATGAACTTGCAGTGAAAGCTATTTTTCAACTTCCGTCTTTGTACGAGTATGATTATGGACAATTACCTTCATTTTTGAATCTATTTGATACAAAAATATTGCCGATCCTTCTATATGGATCCAATTTATGGGGGTTTAAACCCCGTGATAATTGTGAGCTTATCGTTTACCTTGTAAAGTTTTTATGCGTAAATAGAACATCCAGAAATAATGTAGTATTAGGCGACTATGGTCGTTATCCAATTTACATAGAATCTGTCAAGCGTTGTATATAGTACTGATCCAAATTATTGAAATTACCTTATCACAGATATGTGAAAATTTATTATAAAATGCTCTTAAGCACAACATGTGCTAAATATTTTAATTGGGCAAATGAAATGCACATGATGTATGATGACATCGACTTTATTTCATGCTTTCCAGTGTTTTATTGTAATATATCAGATGATTATATTCCGATAAACCACTAATAAAAATTTATAAAATTTTCACTGTAGCCGGACTATATCTGAATGCGTATGAAAAAAAAACAATCAAAACTAAATGGAATAACAGGCAGAAATAAATGCCGTCATGCGTAAATTTTGCTTCTTTAAGAAAAGGAAGTCGATGTCATCATACATCATGTTAAAAATGTAGCACAATTAGAGAAATTAAACAGACCTATGTTTCAAAATTGATGATGTGACGTCATGATGTGATGACGTCACAAAGGAGAATGCGCGACGTTACGCGGCAAAATCAGTAAAAAATACTTAAAATCACCTAAAAAGCATGAAATAAAAAGAAAATTTATTTGTTTTACATGTAAGATTGAAATATATTTCATTCGTGAACACCAGCTATTATATTTTCACTCGTGTCCGTTTGAATTGACTTAATAGAATTATAGAATTTACCAGTAATATTTTTTGACAGAAGTTTGTATAAAAGAATATTTCTATCAACAAAGTCAAATGCTTTCTGTATATCAATGAACGTTCCAAAAGTATCTTGTTTGTCTCTAAGTCTATTTCTAATAATGGTACAAGCTGTATATACATGTTCCTCACATGACCTTTTAGAACGAAAACCGTTTTGTTCATCAGCAAGTAGATTTTGCTCTTCTAAGTAAGTTTTTAATCTATTATTTAATAACGCTGAATATAGTTTGCTAACAACTGACAGCAGACTAATACCTCTATAGTTTAGTGGTACACGTTTGTCTTTGGTATTGTCCTTTGGTATCGGGGAAATTAATGCTTTTCGCCATATACTTGGGATGATTCCTGTTTCAAAGCATAAACTAAACAATGAAAATAAAACATCGATTATGATGGGAAACTTTATAACTTCATACGGTAATTTATCGTATCCCGCACTTTTCCCATTTTTCGCACTATTAACATTTTTTTTTCTATTTCAGACCGTCGTATAGGGAAATTCAACAGCTGATTTTCTTCAAAAAGGGGGTCTAACATTCCATCTTCTAAGAAACACTTCCCATTTCAATCTGCTCGTAGAATTCCTTGTCGAAATTTTCATCGGCTTTGTTACAGTAATAAAGACTTTCGAATTCACTTGACCATTTATTGAAAACAAAATCACAGTCTTTGGTCACATTCCCGTCTGCATCATAAACCTCCATAGGTATAGAACTTTTATTTTTTGGACCGAGATTTTTTATATGATCCCAGAATTCCCTTGGATTGTCTGTGCGCGTGCACTCAATATCAATCGAGAGAGACCTCTTATGACTCCTTTCAGCATGACGCAACTGTTTATCAAAAGCTTTTCTACAATTTATATACTCATTTTGAAGGCGTAATCTGGTTCGACGATCACCGTGAAATGTTACGTATTCTCTCTCAGACTGACGTACACGTTGCCAGAGGGCCTCTATATTATCATTTCAATAAGGCTTAAATGTTTTATACCTTTTTCGTGTTTTCTTAGAACAGTCAAATGACGGAATATGAGCATTCATCTCTTTTATTAACGTTTTACAAAATTGATCATAAATGTTATCTAAATTTTCTTGATTTTCTCTACACAACTCAATATTTCTTATTAGACCAATGAAAGCTGTTTTCGCCAATTGGGATGTTAAAAAATCTTAAGGAATTCTTTTCAATTTAAAAATTTTGGTATTGAACTGCGACCGCAAACTGTTCGTTTTATCATCTTCAATTAAAACGGTTTTGTAATTGTAAGTAAAACGTAACATATAGTGATCGGGAAGTTTACTGCTTGACCCTATCAGCGATTGCAACTTAAATTTGTCTACTATCGATTCCACTGAAATAACTTCAAAATTCTCACACGCTTTCAAACAGTCATGTGGAACGCATATATAATCAACAACTGATTTACCTTTACTTGATACTGACGTAAAATTATCCTTGTCTTTACAAAAACGGCCATTTAATACACACATTTTTGAATCAAGAAGAAATTCTATAAAGGTATTTCCGTGATGATTAACAGTTTTGTCGATAATCGATCTTCCAGGAATTCCATCCACATGTATATGTAATGGACTGGAGACCTAAATCAATAAATTCTGTTCTGTTAAATAGGCGATCTGCAAAGAAAATTAAATGCAAAGAATTAATAGATAAAATTTGATACGTGTATATACGACAATGGTTACACATAAACTGGCTATAAAAGCATTGTGAGATGGCAAAAAACATTTGAGCAAAACCTTTATTACCAACACTTCTCACGATGCTTTTTCTATAAGAAGTGATACACATAGATACACTTATCCGAATATAAGTTTCTTTTGCGATCTATCGGTATCTCAAAAGTGACAAGCCGTATCGATAAATGTACCACCCAACGCATTGAGTGCACCAAAGGTGAACATAAAAGATATTTATAATCATATGTTTCAGTTGTTATCTCAGAAGAGCATTATAAAAGTAACATTGATAGACGATGCATGTTACGGATACAAGGACTGGTGATCGCTATTTGTATAGATTAATGTTTCTTATGTAAGAAGTGGAGTTTGTATGTACCAGATGAGTTAACTTTTATATTAATTAAAAGAGTTAAATCATTAAAACACTGACAAAACAGTGTGACGTAAGCGCATCCGTGAATATCTACTTTTATTTAAAATTCGGCTTACATAACATTACAATGTTAAATGTTTAACTAAGCATTATCTAACTGAAGTAAAAGATCACCCGATTTTTTTAACAAA